ATAGCCGACCGCGTGGCTAATCCTGGTGGGAACTACCGTAATACGGCGACCAACACGGAAAGTGGCTCGGTGATTGATGCACGAGGGCCCTGTGATTCTGCATCGGACGATGGGCAGCGTGGGTCTTCAAGATGTATGCGACTTTGCCCAATTGCATCTTTGACGTCTCAACGAAATATACTGGACGTTTGACTAACGACATCTGGGGAGCAGAGATAAGACACCAATGAGGGGAGAGACATCTCCAACGGCGAAGAAGTTGGAGGCGAAAACATTACCGTCGCGTCGGGTAATGATACTCGACGCTGGGGGGAGCGAGACAAGACAGGGATGATGTTCTTGACGTTCCATCGAGGGCGCCGTGAATCCGCATCACATCTTTGCCGACGAGCTGACTACTGGGAGCGGGATAGGTGTTGATAGGCAGCGGGGGTTGTCAAGAACTTGAGATGCGGGATGATAAGGCGGGAGAGGGACAAGGCGGGGCCAGGGCCGACGTTGATGTTCCCCCTTGCCGGCGAATTACCCGAACACCGGATCTTGAACTTTGGTTGATATAATGCGCCCCTGTGCCTCGCTGAAAGGAGAGTTGTCGAGAGGCCAAGAGATCCAAACAGCTTGGTCAACTCACGGATCTTTCCCGGGCGCCAAGATGTTTACATGTATTCGGACGGAGCTTTATGATACCCCTTCCCAGCTATTCCCAAAATCCCTGAATCTCTCCCAACGGGAGGCGGGGGAAGCCGGGGTTGTCTTATCTTGCCTATCTTACCCCAACTGTGAGCAGGGGAGGGGCAGAAGCCATATGTGGCCGGATGATAGCAGATAAAGAGCAAATTTCGAGCTCTGTTCGCAGCAGTAAGGAGAGATTCCACTTTAGAGAGGGATGGCCGTTGTGTTGTTTGTCTGAGTTGGCCTATCTTGTGCTCGGTTCTCAGTCAACGAATTATGGACATATCAGCTGTAAGTGGCGGCCAGCGAAGGAAAAGTCAAGACGTTGTGATTCTATAGATGCTGCGCAGTGTATTTGCCGTCCCAATAATGCTCTCTATACAGCCTTGGAAGCGCGCGACTTGTTGTCGCGATGCCGCCTCTCCTTGGCAGCCGATTTCCGGCGCTTCATCCATGACTGGTTGAGGTCTCTGCGGTTCTCCCAGAACCACTTTTGAAAGTCGCCTCCGGGGCCGCTATTGCCCTCCGGGTCGGCGTTTCGCTCCGCGTTAAAAGTCGCCTCGATTTCCTCCCGTGTCTCCTCGTCGTCGTCCTCTTCCTCTTCCCCCTCTTGGCCGATAGCCCAAAACGGCTTCGTATGGTTCGGGTGCGCTGTGTCGGGCGTGGGTGCAGCGCTTCTAACGTTGCGCCACTCGACGTCTTGCGCAGTGAATGGGGTCATGGGCATTTGGCTGGTCGCTGCGACGTCTTGGTCTTCCTCGATATCGTCACCGCCACCGCCGAAGAAGCTGAAGGGCTCGGCTTCTTTGGGGGGCTCGGCAGCTTCGTTGCCGTCTTGCTTAGGCCGCTTGTAGAGAGCCTCCAAGGGGTGGACTTGAGCCGGAGTCGATGGCGGGATCTTGATAGTGAGACTGGCATTAGAAGCGGCGGATCTGGGTCGCGATGCATCGGCGGCTTTGATCGCGGACAGCGGACTGTCGAAGTTGGCAGGGACAGAAGTCTTTGTAGTTTCGACTACTATTTCGTCGGAATCGGAACTATCGTCATCGGACGATGACGATGAATCGCTGCTGGTGTCTTCATCATCTGCAGCCTGCACCTTTGGCGTTTGCTTTGCAGGTGTTACCGGTGCCGCCTTGACACTTGCTGTGGCCTTGACCTTTTCCGTGACCTTGGCTGGCTCTGCCTCCTCATCTGAGCTCTCGTCCGAAGAAGTATCATCGTCGGACGAGCTGCCGCTGCTGCTCGTAGTATCGTCATCTACGGGCGGCGGCGTGGGAGCCTTGGCCTTTTTCGGTGGCTTGGGGGCCTTGGATTCGGGGACAGGTGCCGTGGCCGTTCTTCTAGTCTTTGCCGATTCGATCACGTTCCCTTGGGTATCAACCCATCCTTTCCCTTCGACAAACTCGGTTGTGAGGTTCTCGGTCGGCGCAGGTTTGGCGGCTTTGAGGAACGTGGGGAACTTTGTCGTCTTCTCGAACTCGTGGATGACTACCTCCTTGGCCTTCTTCCTGCGTTTTTTGCGATCGCCCTCGTCCTCGGGGTCGGCAGCCGCTGGGAGCTGCTTGGAGGGCAGCTTCGTCTTGAGCAGACACTCTTCCCTGTCCGTGTACTTTGAGCGCTCCTCCCGCTTCTTTGTCTTGTCCTTCTTGTCCTTCTTCTCTCCCTTTTCCTTTTTGCTCTTCTTCTCCCTTATCTTGGCCTCCTCGGGGACGGTCCAACCCCGCTTGACCTTGCGATCGCGAAGCTCAACGCCCTCCAGAACGTTTTCGTCGCGCTTCTGCCTCTTTCTCTCCTCCTTTTCCTTGGACGACTTCTTTCGCTTCTTGCCAGTCTCTTCGCTCTCGGCCACGGGCATGTAGTCCTCGGCGGGGCGGGCCTTATCGATGCGCATCTTGGAGCCCTTCAGCACAGCGCCGTTCAATCTCTTCTTGATCTTTTCAGCGTCGGCCTCAGGCACGTCGACGAAGCCGTAGCGCTTTTCGGGGAAGGTTTCGATTGTGTGGAAGGAGATGTTACGGGCGTTTGGCAGGATTGCAGCCGGGATAACGACTTTCAAGAGGTCCTGGTCGAAAGGAGCAATGTGCAACCTCGTGTAGGCGCTGCTGGTGTCGGAAGGCCCAGCGGGATCAGAAGCAGTCGGAGCAGCACTCGGGGGCATCATTAAATATTACCGTACCGCAGGGAGAGGGAAGAGTAAAGGAGCAGACTTTTGACGCTGATGGAGCGTCGTTGCCCGTCAAAAAGAATGAATGGCAGCGGGAGAGCTTGACAGACTTTAAAAAAAAAAAAGTAAGCTCCTTTGCTAGAGGATTTTGCCGATCCCCTCGAAAACCCTTTGTGTTGCGCAGGGATTTCAATTGGTCCAGCTAATTTTCGACCGCGACCCCACTTCTGCCTGCTTATGTCATCTCACTCCTGTTCATCTCATCTCATCACATTCCCATTCTCGTGATGTGTTCTTCGCCGACTCACTGAGCAAGGTATATAGGTGCATCCAAGTCCATTCCGATCACCAGCCAGCAAGCGTCCTCTAGGTCGAGGGTCAGGTCAAACTGGCAAGGTGGTGGAGTTGTTGATGGTCAACAATAAAATCGCCAACCAGCCAACTCAACGACACGCTTAGCGCGCTAAGTACCGGAGTTCGAATCCCAGCATGAGCACCAAGAGATGTAGCCACACCGGTGGTGAACTCTTTTTTAGATTTCATAGTCGACTTGCATGAGAGTTTCACTGATACTCATTCAAAGGAACAAATACTCTACCTGCGTCCTAGATCCTTGAAAATGAGATGCTAAGGAGCCTTGTAATGCTCTACGGGTAGCCGGGGTTACAGTGATACTCGTGTAGCTCCTTCCAATTTGGCGCCAGGGACATGTTGTCTCCAGGAGGAAGTCGCGATGAGCCGCTCTGTCCTCCAACCTTTGCCGAGCACCTATTTTGTCCTTCTTGTACCATAACCGTCTCTCAACACGCCCTCATTGACATCTCCGCAACATCATCCACGACTACAATCCTATCAAACAGCTCCCGTCTGCAGACCGATGACAGCCGGCTGCGTTGCTTTGATGCCCTCTACAGGCAACTACTTGTCCTTTTTTTTTTCTTATTGATCCTCCGTACCATCGTATACTTGTTGTGTAATTTTACTTCGTCTTGCTAGCCTTCCACCGATTCTAAAATGGACGGACATTCAGACTTTGACGATGAGGAGTTCCGCACCGCGCCGTCAACCCGAGAACACAGCCTATCCATCAATCGACCTCCAGCTGTAACCCAGCTACCCGGCGTCTTCGTTCCCTCGTGCCACAATGGCACCGTCATCTACCCGACCACCACACAGAGGAACCCCGATCTAGGCCGACGTTCATCCATCGTACCCCCGGGCCCGCCCACTACCCTAGACTGTAGCTTGCTCAGCAATGGAGATGTCGAAAGCATGACATGGGCTCCTCAAGCCAGCCCCGTACTCCGACGACCATCAAGATGCATGAGCATGGACCAGACTGGGGTTCAGGTCCATAGCCACTGTCTATCCCCGGCCGCTGCAGAGGCCATCACCAAAGGGAATCTGTCAGGTATCCTAGGTCAAGGCATGCTTTGTTGAGAAACCGTGTCGAATTGTTCCTAATCAACGTTATGATAGGAAACAAATGTCTTGCCGGCGAGAGCTCTCGCCAGGACTTGCCATCAAAGAGCTCGAACCATGATCTAGGTCGGGCTGGGAACACCAAGATTCAACATGGCACCACGACAAGGCCGATGCGAGGCCGACGCGACCTTTCAGGTAGTCACAGCTCCGTCTATGTTCGTCATAGCCGACACTCATCCCGGTCCGAGCATCTGTCCGACACCCCAAGACGGTCTGGTTACAGCATTTGGGGAAAATCCAATGTCTTGATGCAGCAAATCATGGGAAAGGTACGGAATCGTCTTGCCGGTCAACGAAAGACGCGGGACATCTCTTCAACCGGCCCCGAGGAAGAAACGACATGCAACCAAGCCTCTTGCCAATATCTACTCACCGATGATGAGGTACAAGATTTTGTGGAGATTGTTTTCAAGGAAATGTGCAAGCACATTACCACCTTGGAGGATGCTGCCCACAACCAGCAAGCGACTGACGCGCTGGTCCAAACAAGACTGGCCAGGAAGCCGAGCTGCCTCAAAACCGCCATTGAGCTGCAGCCTGCTCGGGCAGCTGATCCAGCGACCACCATCAGTGAGCCTGAGGCCTCATTCTTCACCCGAAGCGCCACTGATGGTCAAGTACGGCCGAGAAGTGTAGCTCGGCCCCCGCCTATTACCACAATCGTCTCACGCGACAGCATTACCGATATACGATGGCTCGCCGATCAACAGGAAGATCGAGTTGATCAAAAACCGGATTCTGATGAACCCGACCCACCGGTATCTGCCGCGTCCCAGACTAACTCTTCCATGTTCAATGTGTCTAGCAACATTGAGGGACTCAGTCGGACTTCTGATTCCGATGCTGCATCAGAAGCCCCTGACTTCCACAACTTCTCGCTCGGTTCTGAATTTGTAAACAACTTCAATCTTCAAAAGGAAAACGTCAAAGAATTCAGCGTCGATGATGGAGCTTCCTCGATTACTTCTTTCCCTAGCCTGCCACAGCGACACTGCACGGATGAGTGGCTGAGCACCCCTGCCAGCCTCGTCACTTTGGAACATGAAGACAAAGGCAAGGTCAACATGTATCATTTGGGAATTGACGCCAGACTTGGCAGCATCGCACCCATCAGCGAACAAATAGCCAAGAAAGATCCTGACCATAGCACGATTGATGTTGTAGTTTCCACCTCGGATGATTCTGCGACTACGAAAACCAAGCCCTCTCGCCGAGGCTCCGAGGCTCTACTTGACCTGCACGCACGCCCTGAGAAGAAGGTCCCAGACTCATCGCCCAAAAATGGCAGGCGGCGATCTGCCCATTTCGCAGATCGTCTAGTACAAGAGACTCGCAAAGCGGAGCCAGGTTTCATGCAGCAAATCACACGAAAGATCAGTTCTGTATTCCAGAGTCCAGCAAGTAGTGGCCGTACAACCCGCGCGCCAGCACCATCCGAAGTTGACGATGAGGTTACCGGAAAGACTGGCGGAGAACTTGGTGCGAGCCGGCCAGCTGCGGGAATTGGTGGTCCCGGCGTGGAATGCCTTTCAGAGCCTGAGCCCGACGCCGTCTACCAGGCTATGGTGATATCGAAGCCTACGAAAGACAAGAAGCAACGGCGAAGCCCCTGTTCTGAAGACTACATTCCCCACATGTGCGTAAACGATCTGGGCACGTCGGGAATACCTTCACCCAATATTCAGTAGCCAACATAGGCAACTAGGCTATCTATCATAGGTGTTCTGCCTGTGTCAGATGGAGGAAGGATACCAAGAGAACATGATGACTTACCCTAGAATCCATAGCTGTTAGTTGATCAACACGGCCATCGTCTCCCTACCTTACTTGTACGAAATTTGAGCGACTGAGGCTCATGGTCAGATTCTCCCCACAACTTCATGCTGAAGGAACTGATGATGCCAAAATGGCGCCGGGAATCCGATTGATGATGCGGCTCGATTCTTGCCTACTTGCATGCTAGATACTATCTAGACACCCACAGTTCTATTTAAGTAAGTGCCACACACACAAGAAGGCTTCAATTCCCCGCCAGAACTCAATTCAGCGGCAAAAGAAATGCCTCATTGTCATATGAGTCAAAATGATTGGACACTGTGGGAATTGAACCCACGACCTTTCACAGAAAGCGCATCTGAAGCTCACGAGGAGTTTAGATGTAGATGCGAAGCGAAAATCATACCCCTAGACCAAGCGCCCGATGGTTGATGTAAGACCCCGCCAGATGAGGGAGTATGAATGCATGCGGATAACAGAATGGGTCTCTGTGGAACTGTTAGTGGAGAGTAATTAGTGCGCGGTGCTGTGCCGGGTGATGTGATAGAGTTGCCCGCCGGTTATCGTCGGCGAAGGCTTTGATGGTGGGACGGTGGAAAGAGAACTTCACGATAGTTGCAAGTAAATAACAAAAGAGGAAGAGTTTTCTTGGACCATTGAAGAGGTAAACGAACAATCTTGGATTCAAGGATGAGCGTGAAATTAGAGCCCTAGAACTGGCACAGCTGAAGCTTTTAGCTGGTTGCATTTGCGGGGAACAAGAACAAAGTTCTGGAACGAGAGAGTGTAGGTGGGAGTTGATTGGATCGCGCTTCAAGAGAAAAGCCTGGTTTGGATCAAACACGCGGGAAGACTGTTCGGAAAACTCAGAGTCTTGAAACCCCTCACTAACTTCAACTATATTGAACACAGGGATAAGGTTCACTGAGTTCGCATGCTGGCGCGCGTGGTCGGAACTCAAAAGTCCCCTAAGCTCTAGCTTTGTGTCTTTATTCCTTCAAATCGCAACAGGTAGAGACTCACGTAAGACTTCAACTAACAATGACCAACTCCGTGCCGTTTCCAGCCAAGCTTACGTGTATGGACCAGTGATGCAACTCTGCAAAACATGGGTTTTCTTTCGAACAATAGAAATATGCTAAAGCTATCGGCATAGGAAGCAAATCGGTGTTGCCTCGACTAATATCCAAGATGTGGAACGTTAGCCCGATGACCAGGTCGAGAAAAGCAACCAGTACACCTTCTGACAGGCTGACGGGGCTACTGGCCCGCTATAATGGGCCAAATCGACCTCAGGCTTGCTACCCTATTGCGCTCAAGTACGTGGTATGGGTCCCGGGAAACGAGCTGTTAGTGCGCCGTTTTCTGTCAAGTTGTGTTGCGACTGGTGGCTGCTTGATTCTTACGTCCTCGCACACATCCATGCACGCCCCAAAGTTGGAACTAGTCGACAAAGTTGCCCCTTGTTGCAGAGCACTTCATCCCCTGAACTTCCGGGGAGAAACTCCCGTCATCCAGTCACTTTTTTCACTCGTCAACGTTTGTGTCTGGAGGTCCAGAACTGGGGTCGAGAATATTTCTGCCCAGTTCCCGACTGGCGGGGCCTTGACCAGTTGAGACCTACGTGTAAGTCAGGTCCTGGCTCCGACAGAGCTTTTTCGATTGGTCCTGCAGTTCACCCGCTTATCAACCTCCATACGTCAGACAACACGACTCGGAGGCTGTGTCAGATGGCGCGTAGAAGTGTCTCCTGGGACACTTCCGTGCCTGTCTGTGGCGCCAGAAACACCCTATCAGTGAACCTGTTTCGGGTCCAGATATTGCGGCTCAGCTGCTGTGCGAATGCGATAATTCAAACCCTAGAGCCACTTTCTAGAGATTGGCTCGCCAGTCTTGTGTGAGACTGGATGCAATCAACTCGATTTTGGTTCCCTCTGACCCATCATCGTGGCTCTGGCAAGCCTTTGACAGAGAAAATAAGAGGTAAGTCTTTGACAGAGAAAATAAGATCACAAAGGTAAGATGATGGGAAGAGGGCACCATCCAAGAACTTGGGGCAAGGCCAAGTTTGGATTTCGGAACGTCCGAGAGCCGTTCGGTACCGACCTGTCAGAACGGTTGCAAGATCGGAAAGGTCGAGCTCGGAAAGCTCCAGGGTTTTTGGTTCAGTTGACACGACTCGTTGGGCAGATAACGTCAAAAATCTCGCGTCACCGGAATGGGGAAGGTCTGAGGTCTGGGCGGCAGCGCTGAGTAGGACTGGATGTTACACTTTGGTGATGGTCAGTTTGGATACAATTTCCTTTCTGGGACATACGACTCTCGTTTTATAAAGCTCCCGAAACTGTTCCTGATTACTTGTTTTCGTGACATCAATCCATTACTTCTCATCGGGCCGATTCATAGCCTTTCCAAGGAGAGAGACAATCTTCCAAAGAATGACCCGGCTGTAAACCGTCAGAACCAGTCTGCCTCATTGACCGATAGACCTCGGACCCCATATGTTACTTAGCCACCTATTTACCTTACAATCATTGGTACTTCCAGTCTCTGACTCAATTTCGACTGAAATCTCCCGAACGAATTGGCGCTGGAGACGAAAACGTGCTTTTAGGTGGCTTCGGGAGTCTGTTCCGAGGGCTTGTCATAATCAGACTCTTTCACCGTGTCACTAATTGGCTGGTGGTCAGAGCACTTGGCAAATGGTCCAGTCTCCTAATCCCCATTCTTACAAGTGAAGTTTGGCAAGCTGATTACGGAGTACTATTTCCGATCATATTAGCTCCTGACATGTTCAAATGGAATGGACCTTGTTAGCCATCCGAATCCGAGCCGTTCGTTTGGCCCTACAAGTTGTCTAAATCGTGTGGGGAAGGCCGTCTAATATGACCATTGTCGTGGAAGATGAACATCCAGGGAAAACCACCATCGATATTTCCACATTGCGTGCATGGCTGCGACGGCTAAGGAGACGCCTGGCCTCACGAAGCCTGCATAAGTGGCGCCGTCTCTGCAAGCTTCCTCCCACAATCTAGCATGAGAGTACCCGTCTAGGCGCGCGTGCGGTCCTGCAGGCTGCAAGGCCTCCTGATCTACAAACCGTTCGCCAACATTAAGCTTTTTCGATACCCGTGCCGGATGATTCTCTATGCCGCGTATGGCTTATCGCAGGGCGTAAAATAATTGCCGGCCTCCCTTGCCTGATGGGACGGGAAGGCTGCCCGATCCAAGCATTCATACAGAGCCTACCCTAATGAGGTAATAGATGGGATGTCCGGAGCAGAGCCGTTGAGAAGCCCACATCCCAGGCCGGCAGGCCGTTTGAACATATATCAGGTGAGTCGACCCATCAAGACCACCTGTTTCTGGGCTGCCAGCTTGTCAAGGCAATTAAGCGAGTGCGAATGGGCAGGGCTGAAAGTTCCAAACCGGCAACCGGCAGCTTGGCGGGAGACTACACCCCTTTCCCAATTCTTGACAGACGCAGCCGACAATCACGAGCGTCATCGTCGTGGAGGTTTGCCGAGGGACCATCCGGTCAGGTTTTCTGGCAGTTTGGCAGCTTGCTGGCGTTTAGTTGACATGACTACTGAATGACTGGCGAAATGGGCGCTTTAGTGAATTGCGATTGGCGCATCACTAACACAACTCTGTTGGTTGTTTCGACTGAACAACGGCCGGTCCGCGCAACAAAGCGTTTCAGCTTTGATGCTAAAACCATACTGGCTCCAACGGCTTCCCTAGGCCTGATCATCGTCGTGCCTGTGCTTCCCCTTGAAAGAACAGACATTACCCATGGGGGAGAGAGCTAGGAAAGTTCCGAGAGGCTCGAGTTCATTGGCTCCCCCCACAGCCCACTAAGCACCCCGTTCATGAGCTTATCGCGATAGTTCCCTAGAAGCCAGATGTAGGGCCAACGGCGGCTTAGCGAGCCCACTCAACCTCCACCTTGATGCCAAGGTTGATCCCTCGAGATCGACATGTCATCCCACGCATCAGTAGCAATCCACAACTCGGATGAGTTATAACGCTTCCCTCCCTCCTAGACAGTGGCGGTTGGTGGGCGTCCGGAGCCGGTTTGTGGCTACCGCTACATGGACGTAAGCGTGTCAAGCCGTCCCAAGCAAGTACCATTTTAGGACCCCCATGCGGTCAGGGTGAACCACCAAGAACCTCCTTTGCGTCTCATCACCCAAACAGGAAGGCTGGAGGAGAAAAGTAGTTGTAGACCACACACATTCAACACAGGAAAGCTTCACCGCCCCCCAGTGTGTCCCGAAATGGAAAGTGATGGGAGAAAACAAGCGCTGAATAGGCCTTGGCTACTCTACCCCAGATGTTGATAAAATCAAACTAAGAGCCGCACGCCATTTCCGAGTTTGGTTTGGAAGTCGTTGTCGTTCTCTCCACTATTCAAGCTCATCTCTACCTACCAACGATCTCCGAATCCTGTATTCCACCAACGTCCGCTCTAGTACTATCTTAATAACTTCTACTCTTCTAAAATGCTCGGCTTTCAGGTTCTTCTCGTCGCCCTCCAGGCGTGGGCGATCACCGCTGCTCCTCTTCTTGTTGCTCGCCAAAAGGATACCATCACCACCGCTCTTGGCATGGTCCAGGGCTCCCTCGAAAAGCTTGACACCGCCGTCAAGGGAATTTCCGCGAGTGACGCCAACTCTGTGGCTCCGGTCCTCACCGCAGCTCAAGGCTCTCAAGATGCTCTCGTCAAGGCTACATCCATGATCGACGGCGCCGACAGCATTGGTCTCTTTGGCGCGCTTGGTCTTCAGCAGACTGCCGATGGCCTCGTTACACAGGTCCAGACTACCCTCGGCGATCTCTCTCAGAAGAAGCCCGTGTTCGACCAGCTCGGTGTCACCTCCGTCGTCAAGGATGCTCTGATGCAACAAAAGTCTGGCAGTGGCGCGCTCGGTGACACCCTCCTCAGCAAAGTCCCCGCCATCGCCCGCCCGATTGCCCAGCAGAGTACCGGTGCACTTACGGAGGCTTTGGATGGCGCTATTGCGACCTTCTCCGCATAGAGGAATGGGATCAGTACAATGGCCGTGCTGGGTATCGCGGCAGGAAATACGGGTTCTGGTGAACAGGGGAGACGTGGACGGTGAACGAAATTGTCACTATGAGACGTGAAAGGAAATCGGGGGTAGGGAGACGGTGTGATTTGGCGGGACGGGGAGTCAGAAAACATCTCGAGAAAGAGGAGGATCGTGTAATCGAATCGAACAATTTCGTATTCGCCCTGGAGTACTTCGTGAACGACAGACCCACCGTAACGAGTCTCCCATGATAATGCGAGACTGGAACTAGTAGCATCTCAATTATTCTTATATAATTCAAAGTCTGATTTCAATTTCGTGTGGCCTAATATAAACGTTCATAATTCACGGGGAGCTCTTTCCAGGCTCCACGTAGATTCCGACTATCACAATAGTAAAGCACGTGTTTAACGTAGCTCCAGCAATCTCTACCCGTCGTCGTAACATCAGGGTCGGGATGATGAACAGGGCTTCATAGGATACGAAGGCCATGTTCAGCAGGAGCATTTCTATGGTATAACGTAATTCTCCTCATTCTCATAGCGTCTTCTAGAGTCCTACACGTCTGGCACCCGCCTTGGTCACAGATGTTGCCAACAGAACTAACTCCATGACGGTTTCTGCACAAGAACAAACGATGTGGTATAGACGTGAACAATTCACCATAGCCACTCTCTCTTTTGCACCAGTTGCACTACGATGCCTTACAAAGTTACACTAAAGGGTCTAGAAACCTGGGCTAACGGGCGTACAACGCAGCCTAACGACGAACCTAGCGCAAAATTCTACAGAGTAAACCGACAGAAAGGCAAAAAGTGTAAGTCAGCTGCAACGCAGCTGAGACTGAACATTGAACCCAACGAGGAAAAGCCCAATGAGCTCGGGGCCGGGCCGTTACGTATCATCAGGGTTGTTCCCCAACCACCATCAGCCCTGTGGTCAGGAGGGAAGGTTTTAGCGTTCGCCAACTTTTGCCTTTCGACCGAGCTTTACGCGGGATAAGTAAGGGTGCATGAAGAGTCCAGGGATGACCCCATTGTCAAGGCTGAATTTGCGTCGCATATTTAATGCTTTCGAAAGCTTACCTTTTGCATCTTGTATGACTGTCAGCGTATTCTTGCCGTTTCGCAGGCCTTGGCGTCAGTAATTGTGGCTGTGCTTTCATCCTCGGGTTACCGATGCATGAATACCTGCTCACGTTGACAGCTGCCTGACGGGGCATGATCGCGACATTTGACAGGCTCTTGGACATTTGGTTGGCACTGATCATCTGTTTCCTAGGAAAAGCAAATACTTCCGGTATCAAAACTTTCAATCCCTCGACGTTGATTCTCTCGACACGATAAGACATAATAAGCACAGACAAAACTGCCTACCTCTGTCAGGCTCGACGACATGACTGGTCGACGGAGCTTTCGTACAAAATTTGCTGTTCGCTATTCCGCGATAGGCAAGTTCCGAGTCTTGTTAGGGCTTGAGCAATAGTCTCCGTGATTAGACTGCACAGATGCCACTAGGATCGAAACCAGACTGTACGATTGGTGCTGATACGAGAAGAGCTGAAACGTTTGGCGGACAGCCCGTTATGAACGTGAACATGAAAGCATTGAGATGTACTCCCTACGACTAGCTAGTCGAAAGATAGAATTATAAATGAACACTAGGCCTAGTTTAGCTGCCATTCCCCGGACCGCCAAATTGCTGAAAACTCGGCCCTGGATCTGGTTTCATGCAGGACGTCCAGAAGTCTTCGGCGTTTACACCTCCCACATCTATGAAATCGTCACCAGCATACCCTTGGAGATCCAGCAGGTCCATGTCTGACCAGTTGGTAGTATCTCCAGCATGCAGATCCAGGATACTGAGAGCTTGATGACCTCCCGAGGAAACGGGAGACCCAATTTGCATGAACGCACCAGGTGCTAGGCAAGCCTGGACATGTTAGTTAATGGAGAATGGGGTTTGGCAGCGACTAACCTTCTGGGATACCTTTGGTGCAGGAACTGGCTCCATTTGAGGTGCAATTGGTCGTTCACGGATGATCTTCAATTGATTGTCAGTTTGAGAACCACTGCACGAAACCAGTGCAAGGACCTACTGAAGAAGAAGACGTTAGGCCGGCTGATGTTCCATTTGGTATTGTATTCGCGCCCTGTGGCGAAGGTTGTGGCGTGACGATAACAACTGGCGACTCAACATCATCCACTACGGAGTCAACTTGGTTGTGCATTACCGGAGCAGTAGACTTGCCCTTCGTGGGTGCTGGAATCTGGACTATATGTCTACTTTCCTCCATCTCGTAACGTTCATAGTCAGCATACTTGGATCCTTGGAGAAGGTCCTTGGTCCTTTTGTGCACGATCTCTTCGAGGGCCTGTGCTGAAAGAAAAGGACTTCGGTGTATAAAATGCATGATGTCTTCGACAGTCTTCAAGACAAATTTCTTGCATCCCTCAACAGCTATATCGTGGTGCTCAATCACAGGATCGAAAGCTATAGCAATGTTGTTAGCAGGTTTCTACGTAATAAGAATAGTGCCACATACTTTGGGAGGGTATCTCTTCATCGTCAGGGAAAAGTAGATTCCACAATTGACGCCAAGTTTGGATTTTGCAGCCGGCAGTGCGGCTTCTGAGAACCTTATCTTTGGAGCTGTCCACGCCATCTTCTGGGTTTTTTGGGCCGGTATTTGGGTTCGACTGCCGGTTGCGAAGGCAAGCTTCAGGTGGGTGATCTCCGCCCCTTCGTGGTTGCCCACAGTAAGTACAAGACTGGTTCCCATGCTCCGCACTAATATGTCTCCTATGAACCAAGTCAGGTCTGGGTCAAAGACAGTGGCGTCGGAGAAAGCATCCCCTGTTTCGTAACGGCTGTGGGAGTATGGCAAAGGATTGGGAACTTACTTCAATTCCGTCATATCCTTATAGGACCTATTAGCACAGGGATCGAAATCCCGAGCGTTGAATCTACAAGGGTTGCGTTTTCTGAAGGGGCAGCTGTAACCCTCTGGACACCCGATGCGCCGTCTCTTACTGCTTCCTGTTCTTGTTGGCTCTCGGTTTTGATCATGATTTTGGTCAATCTCGTCATGGCCATCGTCTCCACCTTGTTCTTCGGCCGGTCGCTTCTTTGTCCTTGACTCTGATTGTTGAGGTCGATTTGAGGCCTCGTCATAGGCCGAACTGCCGTTGCTAGCATCACCTTCTTCGACATCGTAGCAGGAAAACCCGTCGTCATCCCAATCAATGGTCGAGAATGATTCCTCTTCTCGCAGAATCTCGGTACACTGATCTTTGAATTTGGAGAACGCCTGAACGACACGAACGGGACGACTGAGCCGGTTGAGACGCACCCCAAAACAACGGGACAAAGCAATATTGGCGGCTCTCTCTAGATCAAGATCAGAGCGACAGTAATCAGAATCAGAATCAGACTCTTGAAGGCTAATCGGTGTCTCAGCCGCGGTGTTGGCACCAGTCGGGGTACTAACTCCGTCCCGGAAGAGTTGGGATTCTGGTAGGTGGGGATCTCGAGAAAGAATCGGCAAATCTGCAGTAAACTTGCCTGAGGGCAATGCCTTGACATGTTCGCCGATACCAACAAGACCAAGCTCCATGGCCAGACTCGGTGCAGAGGTCAACCGCGTGGGGCTTTGATGTCGGGATGTGGTTGGGGTCGTTGCCGATGGAGAATGCATGTGGAAGTCAAAGTTAGGGGCTGAGAAGGTAGAATGGGCCTTGGAATATGAAGTCGAGATAGTCCCCACTGATTGATTGTCGTCGACGTGAAATTGTCGTCTGCGAGGTGCGAGCTTGGAAGGGACTTCGACCTCTTTCCCATGGTATATAAGCTCATTTGGACTTCTGATTGAGGCGGCATGCTCAACCACATCCTCGTCTCCACGCATTATTGCGAACCAATGCAAACAAAAACTTATAAAGCTGAATTTTTCGTGGCTCGATTTCCACTGTAAGAAAGGAAGCTATTGTGTCAGGTTGTCAAGCAGGTGGTGCAGAAGAAATGAGGAATCGTTCGGCGTCCCAAAGACCAGCTACCGCGACGACACGTGCCACTCAAGCTAGCTGGCATGACAAGGGTGTGACATTAGGGGCTGAGATTGGGCCATTTTCATTTTCAAAAATCTGAAATTCAGTTTCAATTTACTGCAACCCATCGAAGGGGGCCGGAGGTCGCAGCCCAATGTGAGACAGCTGATAAGCGAACCTGTAAAACATCTGCTAAAGAGTATGGAATAAGTGCCACAGGGCGTAGCACAGCGGCAGAACCGATAATTTCATTGGCCTGCGCAATCTCAGTTCAGTCAACTTAGTATGAACGTATCTGATTGGGCCAGATGCGACCAATGGAACAGGCTGCCAGAGTTACACATCCTGGCAAGGCGTTTTCGGTGAGTAGCTGAGCACGGCGAAGCGGATCAACAGTTGCCTGAATTGTGGTGAGAAGCTTGGCGGAGCTTTCTACATTTTCAGAAGTATCTAAATGTTCGTTCAGGTCCATGGATGTGTTCTTGGGCTGTCATCGCTGGCTACTTGGAGCCGCATGGAATTTGGTCGCTGATGAGGTTCATACATACACTGTTATCACAGATCAGGGGTGTTTGCAGATTTGCTGCATGAGCGTATGAGCGCCTGATTGGTTTGCAGTGTTAGGTCAGGTTGAATTTCACGAAATCGAACTTCAGTTGAAGACGTTTTGTTAACTTATTCAAATAATTGTCAGTTGAACCATGTTAGACCAGGAGATCACATCTCGCGCATTCATATTTGAAAACCATGCCGCTGACCAGTACAAGATTGTTTTGATGCCTCCGAATGTTTATATGGCGGCTAGTGGCATGCCGGTTTCCCTCCTGATTCAGTTCCTCAAATTTTTCTCTACTTGATGCGTTTTTTCGGATGAGTCCATCCGTAATTATCGGGAGCTGCTCATACACCGACCCCAGATCCTTTAGTTGCCATCAAAAGGCGAATAGAAGACCGCAGCAGCTGAGCAGCCTAAACCATGCCTTCCTCTTCATCATCTAAAAGCCAGTATGTTTGTCTCCCGTCTTATAAGTAGTTTTGGCTTCCAATTCATCCGACTAACCTTGAACTTACAGCGAGACCCCCAACAAGACACAAGATTACCTTACTGCGAGGCACCTCAACAACCGTGATACCCTGCAAGACCGCCTGATCTTAAGAAGCAACGGAGAGATTTTTGGCGTTGTACTATCCCGTCAGATAGGCAAAGCTGTTGCACAGGTCGACGTGCAACTACGCAGCGGTGGGAAGCCAGTCTACAACAAATCATCCAGAAACGGCACATAATTTACAAGAACTCCGACAAGCCAAAACGCACCTTTCGCAACGACTAAAGGAAAGGTCTGATCATGTGCCTGCCTGATTATAGAGACGTTATGGTCAAAGTGGGGCGTAGATTTCGTAAGGAATTGCTGAGACGAGTCACCACATTCTTTCCTTGAAGCCAACTGCATTTAAAGGTTGAGATCTTTCTCTGCAAATATCCCCAAGTCCAAGTCTAGCGGTTACCTAAGTTAAGCAATCAAAACCATGGCAAATTCACATGAGTATTTCTGTCTGCAACGCTTACCTCAACGACAACGTATTGAACTTTATCGAATGCAAGCTGTCTCTTGCGACCATGCTACAAAGTACACACCTAGAATGTTGCATTTCCTGCCTTCTTTCTTGCCAGAACCAGTCTCTAGTATATCAGCCATCAACATCCATACATTATCCTTTCGGGCCATCATACTTCGTTGGCCCTTTGGTCGTCAATGTCATCATGATTCTCAGCAAATTGCGTTCATCCATCGTTCTTGAGGCGACTGCTGCGGCGATGTCGATTGAATCAAAGGGCTGCGTCTACCTCCTAGACAGTCTTCTGCTCCGTTAATCAGTGATTCCACATGAAGTTCTGAGTGAGATCCTCACAATACTAAAGCCTATGATACCAGACAGCTTCGGGAATACTCGGATCTTGAATCTGTTCGTCGAAAGTTTTCGGAGGATGAATCAAAGTGATCTTAATTTGTTAAATCTCTAGGGAACCTGTTATTAGAAACAAAAATATCTTCCACAGTCTGTGAAGTGTTGATGGGTTTGAGGAGTTGGCTGTGAAGTATCGGGTGCCTGAAAGCGCTAACATGACGAACGACTCCTGCCTATCCTGCTCATATTGCTCACCTTACTCATATCAGGCGGTCACTTTTGGCTGAGCCCTAAAGTGAGGGAAAAGCATTTGGACAGTTGATGTGCTGCCCCTGGTTGCAGCATTTGCTGCGCGTAATTCAGCTAGCCTCACACGGGTTGGATGGACGTGTAGCCTCGACCTCTGCAAAGGCTATGAAATGAACCTTCTCTCCAGACTTGATGAAATACGAGCCTGGTGAGGAATTCAACGCGTGGCGCTTCATCGCATTGGCCGAGGAAGAGGATGTTTGGGTCAATAACAGGTTCTCCATCGCCGGAATACCGATCAACTCATCGTCGAGATGGCCATACCTCGACCCCGTTCATCCTAATTGGGGGATTCAAGTCCGCTACCAAATTCAATCTGATGGGACAGAATCCTGGTCTTGGACTATTACGGAAGTTCGCGCCGAAAAAAATGGTTCTTGCTCAGAATCGATCGCTGGCACACGTCCGTTTGTCGCTTCTCCTTCATCGTTGATTTCGTGAGCACAGTGAGTGGAGGCCGATGCGAACATGAACGTAATCTGTGTGAGACTTCTCAGAGATTACGAGCGGTTTGTAGGCTAGGCGGTTCGTGTCAAGCAACCTTTATTTCAGAAACAATAAAACTACAACACTAATAACGCAGTAGGGATCAGACTTGAAATGCCAATGAGGTAGAGCGTGTCCTAGCACCCAGTCTCTATGAGCCCCCAATGATATGTTACGACTGACTCGTGGACCACATTGAAGTCCTAAGCTCTACAGGATTAAGATCGGCAAAACCGGGCTCAACATGTTGATCATAACACTACCGGGGCTGCATAAAAGCGATACCGAAAACGGGTACGTAAACTGACAGCTCTTCAAGGATACCGCGTCCCACATATAACGAAGCAGAGTGGTGAAACATGGCGTTATGCGACACACTCGCACATCAGTGACTCCTGAGCGGCGCAACTAGCAGAGTAGACTTCGTGATTAGTCTTCGATTCCGAAGCAACAGGATTCGGGTGATTACTGGTGTTCGCAATTCATACGAAACTCGAATCATGGCATTCATGTCTTGACGGGCTTGAAGTGGAGCGTGGTGCCGATATTCCGGATGAACTGCCAATGATCCGCTCTGGGTCCGGCTTTCAGCAAAGATTTTCATGAGGCCTGTGGCGGAGCTTTGCTTGCGATCGTAGACGACATGAAAGATAAGGGGGAGAAAAACCATGACTGAATTGCTCGAAAGACCATCATCTTGAATGTCGTGACACCTATTCGCTCGGCGTTGTATTTTCTGTCATTCACCAACGTTGCACTCTTCTCACTGAACTCCAGAGCGGCTATTTGGGAACACCAGGCGATCCAACTCTGCTCTACCAGCCAGATGTCATCACCTTAAAAACTGCCATTTAAGCATGTTTAGCACAGGGCTAGATCCACGACTCATGTGAAATCTAGGCGAAGGTCACCTCATTCTTGCATAGCCCTGGTCGCCACTGCCCTGGTTGCTGCGGTTAGCTGACATGGAGGGCTGTACATTTCTTATTTCCTTCCACCCCATGATCCCGCCAAATATTGCTTGTGAGTTGTGAACCGTTGGGCCGGAATCAAATACCTTCCGCCATACCCCTGATGACGAATGGGAAGATCCCGGTCGAGTTGGCTTCCTGGTTGGTTCCTAAGTTGTTCAGTGGAGACTCCACTCCGCTATCTCACCGTCGCCGGAGTGCTCCGATGGGATGCTCATCGGACGAGCCTCCGGATTGGATACCAACTCCGTGGGGTGCACGAGACTTGACTCGTTGAAGGCTTAGAGCGTCTTTATCCCGCACATACTACCACTCAGTGGTCTGTACGCCATACCGCCGTCTACACGTAGTTTGCCGTGTATGTTGTAAATACATCTATCAATAACCGGGGGTAAACTACGGATGGGACGAGTGGACCAATCCGAAAGGACGCTCGTGGATCATCTCATCTGCCCACGGGACCTCCCGCTGCTTTCGTCATGAAGCGCGCGGTAGACTTCGCGAAATTTATTCTACAACATGGATGCTTTGTGTAGCATGATTGTTGGCCGGGGTCCAAGTTTAGGAAGGTATCATGAGATGGTGCCACTGGTCTACAGGCCTGTTGTAAGTCGAAAAGAAAAGGGGCGGAAGTGCTCTTCTCCGTCACTTGTATAAGAAGGAGAAAGACAGATCGTGCTATTCAACTGTGTAAGTGGCTCATCAACGGTTCTCTACACACCCGTTCTTCTGTCCGATCAGCCCAAGTCTGTCACTATGGTTCGCTCGTTGTTTGCCCTCGCCCTTCTGGGCACCCAGGCTTTGGTCACCTCCGCCGCTGAGGTTGAAACCCGCACCATTGACGAGATTTACCAAGCTGCCCTCGCTGAGGGCGGCGTCGTCACTCTCTGGCACGGCGGCGACGAATTGACCCAGCAGAACTCCTTGAAGACCAACTTTGAGAAGAAGTTCCCCGGCATGACCCTCAACGTCACCGTTGATCTCTCCAAATACCACGACGGTAACTTGGATGACCAGCTCGCCGCCAAGAACGTCTTCGTTGACAGCATTATCCTCCAGACCCTTCATGACTACCCTCGCTGGGCGTCTGAGGGTGCGCTCCTGGATTACGCCCCTCTCGGTTACGACCAGATCCTTCCCGAGTTCAAAAACAACGAAACCGCCGCCTACTATGGCCTCTTTATCATTGCCTGGGCTGGACAATGGCACTCCGGAAAGCTTCCGGGCATCAAGGCGCCCATTGAGTGGGAGGACTGGGTCAACCCCGACCTCAAGGACAAGCTCGTTCTGACCTACCCCAACGACGACGATGCCGTCCTCTTTGCTTTCGACCTCATGTAAGTCACATTCAATCCCCACTATCAGTATTCGATTTTAACAACGCAATACAGTCTCAAG